ACACTTGTAGAGGTGGAAATGATCAGACTGCCACTGCAGTACACTGGGTTATTTCCTACTTTTACGTCTGACCAATGACTATCTGAATACCTGGGTTGTGATAAAAGATATGAATGTGTGGGAGGGCAATGATGAAGAAACAGGAGTTGTGCAAGACCAAAAAAAAGAACTAAATTGTTAAAGGCTGAAACAAATTACCAAATGATTTCCCTTATTTACAGTTCCCTACTCATTCAAGAGATGGGAAATGATATAAGGCACATAATTATCTTCAACTTTGCCATCTTTAACCCTTTCTATGTTTATGGTATAATCCACATAAGGAAGCACGTGGGTAAAAATATCCTGCATTATGTACATTTTGCTAAAGAGATGACATCTTCCCCTTTCTTCAATAGGTTCAAATTTCACAAGAATTCTGTGGTTTTATCTTATGTGGTTATATAGTTTATGTCATCGGGCTTCCTAAAAATTAAGCAATTTTCTAGGAACATGCAGCAGCAGAAGACCTCACCAGTTACACGCCACCAGCAGCCAATTAAATCTTCACAATAGCTTCATGTATTTTGTAATCTGAAATAGTGAAACATTGAAAAAAGTATTTTTGACAGTGCCCTTCCACCAGTCATGAGGTGACATCATATTGTGTAACCAAAAAAATAATTTCACAGTAGGTTTCTTCAGCTCTATGGAGCATTTTAGCGACTTCCAGCTCTGTTTTTGTTTTATTGCCTGTGACTGTGCCACTTTAGACCTCTTGCAGTACTGTCAAAAACCTGTTTGTTTGTTTTTTATCACAGGGAGGATGATATTATCAAGAAAATAAACACTAATAAAACCACTGCACACAAACTGCTGACAGACAATGTTTGTGACTAGCTTAGGGATCATAAAGAAGCATCTAGCAGCTTAAGAGTTACATTCCCTTGAGGAGCTGGACACAAGCTATTGTTTGTGTCAGTTGCTGTTATTTAACCTGCAGACACTACTTGGGTGCAATTGCTCAGTAAATAAAGGGAAGTTGAAGCTGATAATGAATACTGGACTTAGCATTTCCTTTCTAGTTAACAGTCACCACATGTAAATAATTAGATACGTCAGTGCACCAGTTCTCTTCTGAACAGCAATCAACAAACTATATAGCTTTATTTTTTAAGTGTCTAGTTTTGTCTTGTTTAAGCCAAGAGTTCCAAATATGAAAATGTTCTACGCCAAACATCTTATAAAAAGTCAAATGTTTTTCTTTGACACAATGCATGTAAACATAAACATATTTGGACCTATTTCACCGACACTTGTCTAATACTCAGTATTCAAATCAACTAATGACTCCAGAAAGCTTCCATTTCCTGTAAACGCTATTCACTCAAAAATAAAGGTACAATGGCCATTGGCTTTGTTGACTAAGACTAAACACATAGCACTTACAGAAATGAAGCCTATGCATAAGTTAGATAAGGAAGATCTGTCGCCACACATCTCTGCTTCCCTGATTTTTGCAGCTAATCTAAGCTTTACACCATTTCCAGTTTCCCATGCTGTCAAGCTGATTGTGACAACACTGATCAAGTCCAAACATCTTGCAGATGCCTTCATGCAACCAACCTCCTCCCTATTACTCAGCCTCCATTCAAGCCTGTGTCGTCATCTCCACTACCAGCATCTAAACTCCCGGGGGTCCTGCCCTAATCTCTATCACTGCTGGGATTAAATTCTGGTGTGATGGGCCAGCTGAGTCTAACCACTAAATATCTAAAACTGAATTTGAACATCAATAAATCATGTTCATTTCCTTCTAATGATCTTATTGAACTGAGTATTGCTTTTTTAACTTTCACAGTTTAGCACACTTTTAAAGGAATTAAAGAGTCTAGCATTTCTATAACAAAAACAACCGTTAGTGTATAAGTAATGATCTTTACAAAGCCTTTAATAAATTTTCTATCCACCATTACTATTTTAGTATTTGTATTTGACTTTACTGATATATACTCATGGATGGCACATAGAACACAAGGAGGAGCAACTCAGTGCATTTAAGTATATCAGGACAACCCATTCAAGTTGGGGAAGAACGATGACTTAAGTGAATCTGAACATGCCATGGTTGCTGATGTGAGACAGGTTCTCTAGAGTTTAGAGAGAATGCTTGAAATAAGAAGAAAATATCCAGTGAGTGGCAGTTCTCTGGGTGAAAATGCTTTGTTGATGTCAGAGGTCAGAGGAGACTGGCTATGCTGCTTCAAGCTAATAGGAAGGCGGCAATAACCACTCATTACAACCAAGGCATGCAGAAGGGCATCTCTGAACTCACAGCAGCAGAAGACCTCACCAGGTGTTTCTCCTGTCAGCTAAGAACAGCCTAATCAAAAGTGAACAATAGAAGACTGGAAAAGTGTTGCCTGTTTTGATGAGCGTCTGATTTCTGTGCTGATCGTAGGGTCAGAATATGCCATAAACAATACAAAAACATGAATCCATACTGCCTTTTCTGGTTCACACTGCTGCTGCTGCTGCTGGGGGATTTTTTAACACACTTTGGCCCTCTTACTATCAATAGAGCATCATTTAACCGCCATAGCCTACATGTGTATAGTTGCTGACTATGCCCATCTTCTGATGGCTGCTTCCAGCAGGATAACGAACATTGTCACAAAGGTCAAGTCATCTCAAACTGGTTTCTTGAACATGGTGATGACTTCACTGTACTCAAATGACCTCTATTGTCACCTGATCTCAATCCAAAGACAGCACTTTTGGGATGTGGGAGATTCTCATCACAAACTGGCAGTAACCATGTCATGTTATCATGTTAATATGGTCCAAAATCTCCCAGGATCTCGTTGAATCTATACCAGCATTATTTTATAGCAATACACCCACAAATTAAACTAAGGATTCCCACTAATCAGCATAATTAATTACTAAAAATAATGATAAATCTCAGTGACTGCACCAAACTGCACACTGATTTCTAATAGATAGACCCTGTCTCTGAGCTCATCTTGAATGGCTAATTACTTGCCCATTGAGTGTAGAACTGACTGTATTAGCATAAACACCTTGACAAAAAATGTGGCAAAACAGTGAAAAAGGAGCATTTACTTTACAAGGGAATGTCTGAGATGTAGCAAAATTTACTGTTTTTCTCATGATTTTCTCATCACCTAATTTGTTCTTGTTTACTTTAAACTATAGTGAACAGGGTCTCTTTTGCTGAAAGAAGCAGAACAGCTTAGGGATGTGTGGGGAAAAAAGATGAATGGAAATATTTTTTTCAAATGATGTCATTCTTGAAAAAAAGTCATTTTGACCTAATGTTAGCATAACCTAACAATCATAGAGGAAAACAAAGCCTTAAACTGAACTATTACTATTAGGATTAAAACAAAAATTCCCGTCCTTTAATGAAAAAAAAAAATTCATATCCGACGTGGAATTTTTTTCAGTACACTCATGGCATTAATAATACAGAATTATTACATTTACATCAGATACAGTTAAACGTCTAGTCACAGACTCAGCTTCCTCTCAGACACTGAGCACTGACTTAGCTTTAGCTGTCACCTACAAGTGTGGAAGTTGCGTGCATGTGTGGTACATTCTCACACAACCAGGTTAAGAACAAGCCTAATGTACACCCACTGAGAGGCGACCTGAATCTGGTGTCTGATATGGGAAAAGTTCCAATTTTATTATTGGAAAATGGGTCTGTTACCGAAAATCTTAAACTGTTTTGTCTTAATACCTACTCTGGATTAACACCACTGCAGCAGGACGAGTTCTTTAAAAATAAATAAATAAATGCAGCACTGCTAGGAGTTAAATAAAGCTGTAAAGGCTGACTGACATTCTTTTTTTATTGTTAAAAATAAATATTTTATATCATCCACACTGAACGAGCTCCAGTTCCTCTGTGTCATGACCATTAAAGCCCCGACTCATGTCAGGTGAAAGCGAAATGCCTAGAAAGCCTACATGATACCTGCCTGATTTGCCAAGTAATCCTCAACAGATGAGACACTTGGAGTGTCACACGGGGGCAATAATTACTTTACGGTATAGGTTTACATTAACTAATATGTGAAGCTCTGCTACCGTTTGGTTTAAAAACCTTTGCCAAAAGCAGACAGAAAATTAAACAAAAATTAAGCCAGTTTTCCCCTCTGTGTCTTTAAATCCAACTTGTTAGTAAAAAAGTACTAAATCAGAAGCCCACTGAAACTCAAACACCGGGTCCACGCGCAGGTTTTCCCCGAAACCTGCTCTCCACTGATGCACAAAGGCACTCCATCACCTCCGAATTGCACTGCTTGGCGCACAGGACATGGAACCTGCAGAATTGCTCAAATGTGTCTTTCAATGCGCATTCACTCTTTACAAGGATTACCATACAGAGCAGGGAAATTTAGCTTTGGTTGCGAATGTTTGTCACCCAACTTCCACATTGAACGCCTATAAAAAGGTGAGAGCATGGCTGTCTGAACGTGCTCTGCATCCGTAATGACTCCTCTATAAATAAGTGGGGCAGGCGGCTAGAGGAGTGGAGAGCGTGGAAGGAGCGTGGATGTGTAGAGCAAATAAAGAAAAAAAAAAGAAATACACCCCATGAAACCATGCTGTCTGTTCACTTTGGCGAAAAAACATTGATAAGCACCTCCCATCGTACTCGGTTCTTTCTAAGCCCAAGCTTCAATCTATGTACATTCCCAAATCACAGTGGAAGAAAGGCGCAGTGTGGAAAGCTCGGTGGGGGAGAATGGGAGTGAGGGAACATCGTTTCCACACTGCATCCAAACCCTTCCAACGCATGGTGCTTTCAGTCTTCAGTCGGAGCTCCACGAGACGAAAGGGTCCGCTTTCCATCCCATTCACTTTACCTCCCTGTGTAAAACTTGCTTTTACCAGACAAAGCCGCAAAATGTATGCAAAGCTGCCCACCTCGCTATTAATGTCATTATCCGTAATGAAGCACACCCAGAAAACTGCAGAGTGCCTACCTTTTATTCCCTTGAGTGGCCACGATCCGGAGAAGTCCGTAGTAAAAGCTGCACTGTAGCTCTACTAATAATATTAGTAGAACAAGGAGTAAGAGGAGGAGTAGTAGTAGTAGTAGAGGTAAGCCAGTGGTGGGGAATGGTAATGGAGACGCAGGGAGCTCTTATATGCCAGCCAAGACGGCGTATCCACCGATCGAGACGCACGAAAGGAGGGAAGAGTCTGGATTCCCATGCAGCGCCTGGTTATTTGTTGCTGTTATCTTCGTTTGTTGCCTACTCCTCGTTTCCATGTAGTTCGACCCGGCTGACCTGTATGATCGGATGACCGGAGCGGTGCTTCATTAGCATGCCCGCATTTGTTGGGACAAGGCTCGCAGCAGATCGGACTTCTTCCTCATTCTTCCCTTCCCGTCCCCCCCCCCCAAGCGCGAGTAAGAGAGCGAGAGTGTATGAGACTGAGAGTGTGCCTGTGTGTGTGTGTGCGTGTGTGTGTATGTGTGTCAGCGTGTGAGCAGGTCTCTCTTTCGCCTGTTCCCTCACAAACCGACTGAGGATCAGCTCAGCCTCTGTCTCTCTCTCCCTTCTTCTCTCTCTCTCTCCCTCCCTCTCTCTCCCTCTCGCTCTCTCAGCATGTGTGTTTATAGGTCCATACACACTGTGTGTTTCTCTCTCGGATACTCTGCCCCCCTCCGTTACTGGCATATTCGCTTACAGGAATGTCCATTTGAAAATAGTCCAAAAACATGTCACGCTGTTATGATAATCCATGTCTTAATTTTCTTTCTTAAGAGAGGTTTATCATTATTATTGGATCACATGCACAAGAACAAAGTATCATGTAGGTGTAGCAACCAGTTTCTTGACCATTCCCTCCCTGAGGCTTGAAGCTTTTGTCCCCTTATCCCAGGACTCTCCATTTAATCCCCAGCGTCTCCTCATCTCACCTTGCTCAGCCCTTAAAATGTCCTGTGCAAAGATTTTCTTTTATGTTGTAGTTGGAAAAGACAGTGCGTATAGGAGTGTTGCAAGGGGGAGAGGTCATAATGGAAACCAGGGGTGACTTGGACGCAGCTAACAACATCTTTTACAACAGACTAACATTCACATGCAGGAGTCGACTATGAGAACACCGAAAAGCAATTGTTTTAATGTCAGAACTTAGTAGTTACATATGAATGCAAAAGTTTATTTTAATATAGAGAGGTATCTGCCCAAGAAGTGCTCTGAAAGTGATCCCAAAAGAGGATAGAATCAGTGTCACGTGACACCTTTTAGAAGACCTGCATGGTGAGAAGCCTTGTAGGATGTTGGGCTGTTTGTAAAAGATCCAGGGATGGTTTGCTCAGGCAAAGGAATAACGAGTTACAATAATGAGTCTTTCAATCAGGATGTCTTGATCAGCTGTGCCAAAGGAAGAAGAAATATTCAACTGCACAACAACTGAATACATGGATTTGAGCTACAAATCAAATGTATGAGCAAGATGGGTGTTGAAACAGTGTTTTGTGAAAGAAAAGACCGCGTTCCAGCAACAGAAACCTCCATAGATGTAGAAACCACAGGACTACAGTTTTTCAAAAGATTAGTCTTCAGTAATAGAGTATCCATTTTTTTTTTTGTTTTATACAAGAAAACATGATTTGTTGGCACTCTAAGGCCAGTCATACGCTTCATGAAAACAGTTTGGTCCATCAGTCAGTACACGGTTCTGCACTGCAAACCATTCAATATGATCATCACTTAACTGGAAGGCGGTCAAAGATACCGATTTTAACAACAAGGAAATAAACAGATTCTGCTGTCAGGTAACATGATTCATTTTGTATTTATTCATATGAATCTTTTCATTAGAAGTAGCAGTGATTAAAGGAGTGATTCCCTTTATGATTACTGGTTAATTGGAATTTTACTTCATGCCATTCCCCTACTTCTCCCAGCCATGTGATGGGAAGATGACATCATTTTTCTCTCTGAGTTAGCATCTTATGCAATAATCATAAGGTTGCCGCATACAGCTAATAAGTTGATCCAAAAATCTTGTCTAACCTGTCAGTCCTATCAGATGAAGAAGGCGAGCACAGTATATTAATTTATGTGAAAACAGATAATCCTAATCCAGTTTTAGGTTAAGTGCCCTGTCACAGGGGGGAAATCTGAAGTAAAGCAAAAAATCACCAAGAGTATGTGAATTTAGACATCTAGTACACATCTGCATGTGTAAAAACAAGAATTTATACCTTCAAAAACAGACTTTTGAAGAGAGACCTGAACAAACAAATAAAGGCAACTTGGGTATAACACTTCAAAAGGCAGGATCAGCAACCAGGGGGTATAGATTTGGATAGATGCAGACTGCAGCAGACAAAAGGGCTCTGAAAGGGACACTAAAACAAGTGACAGATACTAGCTTGATGGGAAAATATAGAATCAAGCAGTGAAACAGAATAGACAAGCTCTTGCTATGACTAAATCTTTTTCCTTTCTCATTCTGAGAAAGAGAAAGATTCAGACTCAGATAGAGTCAACACGAGAATCGACAACAGAATGGAAGCTGGGAAGTAATTTAAAGAGGAGCAGAAGCAAAGCTAATAGGCCAGAGGGACGTTTTCCCAACTCAGAGGCAGAGGGCAAAGCAAGTGTCACAGGTCTTATAAGAGAAACAGCTGGAGAGTCAGGAAGCAGAAAAACAGATAAGGTGGTTTACTGAGGAAGTGAATGGTTGGGTAATGAGGTTAGAGGAGTACAATCGGGAAACAAGAGTTGTCAGATGGGATGAATAATGGGCTGCATGATGAGTGTCAAAGAAATCGCAAAGAAGACTCCTGGATTAACCCATAGGTGGTATTAGGTGAAATCCCTGGAGATGATGAGCCATGAGCCCATAAATTCTGCCTGGTGATGCAGCCAGCTCACCAGCTGATTTACTACAGGCTTGGCAGGGTGATGCTATAGAGCAGAGAAAGGCATGGGTATCTGAAATGAGGTTTTTAAGGTTCGGGAAAGAGGATTTTGTTAACTTTGAAGATCACACTAACAGATGTACTAAATGGAAATTCAAACTGTTCAATTAATCGTTTCAGGTCAGTGCATTTGTTTTTACATTTATTTCTTCCAAATTATTTTTAAAAGGTGTTAATGAGGAAAAGCTGAATAGAACGCCCATAGACTGCATGTGCTCCATTGACACAGGAAGGTAAGAGCTTGAGCCTGTTCATTCATAATTCAGAGGTGTTGCAGCCCTGTGTGCCTCCTCAGAGCACAGAAATTCTCACAACTGTCAATCAAACAATCCTGCTAAAATTGCAGGAGCACAGCAAGCATATGCAGGGGACATAGGTTAAATAAAGGTATAGCTTTAAATTGATGGGATATGACACAATTGGAAAACAGGTAGAGGGACAACAGTATAAAATTAGCCATTTAGCAGACTGGGATCATTCACAGTTATGCTGATTAACGTGCATTGTCTCTGAGGCAAAAAGCTCAAGGCAAGAAACATTACTCCACTATCTCCAACTCCTTACAAACAGTAGCAACCTGAAAAACCTAATGTGTTGCAGAAAGAAAGGGAGAAATATGCTGTGAAATGTGCAATAGGCAGTGTGGTTGCAAACGGAATGCAGCCGTTTAGCACATTTCACTCAGACCGGTTTGTGACAAACTATTCCTATGGGCATAAATGCCACTATAGGCATATGAGCAAGAAAAATGAATGTGGTCCTTAGTTTAACTTCATGTCCCACTAATCTCAAGTAGAAAGGAGAAATTAGAAATACATTTAAAGTCTAAATACATGGTTACTGCTACAATAATTTCATGCATGCAAACTCTGGCTCGGTGTCTCTTTTATAACTGCTCTGCTTATCATACTCTGTTGAATCATGTAGAATATGATCTGCTATACTTTGTTGATTTACAACAACAGGATCAATAACATTAATATCAGAGAAATTCAAAAGATACCTTTGAATATAGTTGTTGACCTTTTTGTACCACTAAAATAAAAATATATGTACACAATTCTAAACTGTTAAAATGAATTGCCAAATTCTTCAAATAAGTACTTCCTATTTAGCCACAATCTACTTTCTTATGGAGAAATTATGACTCATCAGTAGGGATGGGTACCAGTATCCGGTGCCATTATAGCACCGGTTCTGACATAAACGGTAGTAACCAGACCGAAATGCAGCACACATTTCGGTGCTTTTTTTTCCTGACATGTCATACACTTTAGATTCTAGCCAATCATTTTACCTTTCCAAGGATAGTAGGCGGGCCCAGGTACATATGTTCTTTTAGAGCAGAGCTACAGATTAAAAATGCCCAAGGCGAAGCGGTCAAAAGTCTGGCTGTATTTCACAGCAAAAGATGCAAACTCAGCAGCCTGCAACAAGTGCTTTAAGGTGATACTGTGCAAAGGAGGTAACTCCTCAAATCTGATGGAACACCTGGCAACGCATGGCGTTTTTTTAAAAGCCGTATTTGATAGCTTGCTGCGAGACCTCACACCGAGCACATCTACTGCGGGTGGGTTGCCTGTTATCGGACCCGAAGTTAGCAACATCCCCCAAAAACCCGAAGATTAGAGTCGTGGCCCGTAGCCCTGCCAGTGTAGCAGAAATGATGATGGATGATGATGATGGCAGCAGCAGCCGTTCTTCTCTGCGTGAGTAGCTTAATGTTGTTCATGTGTAAGCTAACCACGTTATTAAATTAATGCATGTAAGGTGAACTAGCAATCATCATCATAGTTACATGTGGCTGTCTTCTTGTTTGATGGCAGATACTCCCTTCACCCTGGCCAAAAAGGCTAAAATGACCAAAGAAAAAGTGGAAAACAGCTAAACATGAGAGGTTTTTGGACAAAGTTTGTGTTTTTTCCATTGATTAAGCACTGCTTCCAGCCAAGAGTGATGCCATAAATCCTCTATAGCTGCAGAAAAGGCTAACATTGTTATCTTTTTACAAAAAAAACAGCTAAACATGAGAGGTTTTTGGACAAAGTTTGTGTTCTTCATTCTTTAAGCACCGGTTCGAGCACCGTTTAAGCACCGGCACCGCTTCAAAAGTACCGGTTTGGTACTGGTATCGGATAAAACCTAAACGAAACCCATCCCTACTCATCAGCAGTAGCGTGTTGGTAATCCATGAGAAGCCTTGGAGTTTCCTAAACTGAGGAAGTTAAGCATTAATGTTGCAAAAATGTGCATATGCTATACAACTCCACAAATGTTAGCGAGAGTATGTTGAAAAAAAAGAAAAGTTTCATCCATAAATGTAACTTTTGCACTTTTGTCTCTGCCCTTTCTGCAGAATGTTCAATTGAGACTGATGCCATCTGGTTTTTTAAAAGTTTTAGCTCAAATGTTAATCCTGAATGTTTAGTTTAATGTTTTCCTGCCACAAAGTTGCACAGTAAAGTGTCCATTAAGCAGCAAACATCCACTGAGACTGAAAAATTAAGCCAAAGTGGAAGTGCCACTTGGGGCTGCTCCAAATGCAAATAAATATCCACAGAATCACAGTTTAAAGT